GTTAATCTGCGTAAAATCATACCGTCTTTTTACACAGGACCCAAGGCTGGACAACCCGGATATTTGTCCGGGACGGCATTTCCACTGTCAAAATGTTACAAAATATTATAAATAATAAAATTTAAATATTAATAATAATAGCATGCCGCCTTTCATTTGTAAAAACATTTCTTATCACTATTCTTACAAGAAAGTTAAAATACTTGTTTTTCATATATATAGTTGTAAAGAAAATAAGTAATTCCAAAAAAAATAATTATTCAATAATAAAGGGTGTCCAAATTTGACATTCCAATTTAAATTGCCCGCCATTTTTTGGTAATCTTCATTGACAGTATTTGTGTAATGACATATGTCAAGTAAAAACTTTGCGGTCAACATGGAACCAACCCCGTTTTTATTGTGAAAACTTATTACCAAAATAGGAAATATTTTGCTGAAACTGCAAGAAGATGTCGAACGCATTTCGGAAGAAATTTAGCATCATTTTTAAAAGTTATTGAGAGTTTTATGAAGAGATTTCAATAGCGAAATCACAGAATATGGGGTGAAAGAAATCCAAGAGAAATATATTGGAAAAACGACTGTACCAGTAAATGTGACTGTGGTGTGGTTTTTGGTCTGATGGCGTTACTGGTCCTTATTTTTCCAGAATGAAGCTGATGATGCGATAACTGTGAATGGAGCGCGATACAGGACAATGATTAGAAATTATTTGTGGAACGAATTAGAAGGTATGGATCTTCTAAACGTGGTTCCCGCAAGACGGTGTCACACTAAACACTAAATCTTTTAAGGAAGAGATTTGGCAATCGAATAAATTCTCGAGGAGCCGAGGTTAATAGATTGCTTAGGTCGTGCGACCTTACACCATTCGATTTTTTCTTATGGGGTTTTTTGAAGGGAAAAGTTTGTGCTAATAATCCTCAAACACCTGAACAGTTTTGAGTTAACCTTATTCAAAAAATTGAAGAAATTGAGCAGAATATTTTTGAAAATGTTATTAAAAATTTTGGAAAAAGAATAATAGCATGCTAAAGAAGCAGAGGGGTCACATGCCGGATATCATTTTTCATTTATAACCGTAACATTTAAACTTTAAAATAATACAATAACATTATAATATTTCAAGGGTTTTCTGTGTTTTATAATTAAATTAAAACCAAAGGTCAAATTTGGACACCCTATAATTATTAAATAAGGAACACGGGTGTTATTTACACTACCTAATATAATAGTCCGTCAGATAGTGACAGGTTTAGGTGCCCAATTTTTGCATACAAGCCTCGAAGAGGTTTGAAAAGTACATCGATTTTAAGTAGAATGAAACGAAATTTACGAGTGGCTGCTGGGGATAACACATGGAAGATTTGATTTTCTCTAACAAAAACGAAAGGTTATTAGTTGCCCATTTTTTCACGCAAGCCGTTTTAACTATACTATATGATTAATTAATATAACTAGGCTTCGGAGAACCAAAGGCTTTAATGTTACAAGTACCTAAAGGGTTGAAATAAGGGCGTAATCTTCTAAGGAAAAACGAGATTATGCCCGATTTTTCCACACAAGCCCATCGAATGTATGAAAACGTACACGACGTATGTTTTTCGGACTAGTGACGACCACTAGCCCGAAAAACATATTTTCTTGAATGACCCGAATGTATAAGTGCATTTTGGGGTCGGCAAATTTTTCTGATAAGGAAAATCGAATTTTCCATGTATTATCCCCAAGAGCCACTCGTAAATTTTCTTTTATTATACTCAACATAGATGTACTTTTCAACCCTCCACGAGGCTTGTATACGAAAATGGGGCACCTAAATCGGTCACTATCTGACGGTCTATAACCGCGCATCGCATATTGTTACGAATTAATATAATACCCTGTGAATAGGTATGTTATGATTTGTAAAGTTTTTTCCAAGGGCAGGCGCGCTAAACATAGATTCAATAAAATAATAAAACGTGTAGCTGGACAAGGTTTTATTAAATAATAATATAAATACAGGGTCAAAAGAAGATCAACAAGAGCACTCTTGAAACATTACAAGTGGATATTCGGGGAGTTCCTTTTGGTCTTCGTTGACGAGCGGTCGAAATTATTCGAATTAAGTAGATTCTTTTTTTTGTGTCCGAAAAAGTAGAGTCACGGGTCGCGATTAGTTTGTTTTGTAAAACCATAGTGATAAAAGTAACGTGTGCTTCCGCCAGCCTTGCAGCCCAACAAATTGAATATAATGCTTATGTAAATAAAAAGATTTAAGTAGTTATATTTAGTTATTGTGTAGTCAGTGAAGACTACGTGATTGCGGAAGCAATATTAGTTGTTTTGATTTGTTAAATAAACCACAGTTATTTGTTTTACGCTTGTTTCAATTTTCTTTGGTTTAGGAAAACTTACGATCATTCAAAAGCGGTATTGGCTTAGTCAGATCTCTGAGAGAGGGAGATACTGCCAAAGGGAAAAGTCCCCGTAGGGCAAACCCTTTCCCTGTCCTCTGAATCATCGTCAGGAAGTCAGGGTCCCTTCTTGGGACTTGGGTTCTTTACTCTAAAAGTATTTTCTGAGCAACTCAATTTGACTCTGGTGGCGAAGGCGCATGTCGGTTAGTCCTCTTCCTACCATGGTTCTAGGCAGGTGGAATCTTTCAATGCACGCTTTGGGTTGATGTTTGTGGTACTTCGTGAAGCAGACTCTTATACTGCGATTTAGTCCATTGAAGTCTGTTTGGGTCCACGAAACAACACCAAAGCTGTACGCAACAACTGGGACAGCGTATGAATTAATTGCTGCAACTGTATTTTGTGCAGACAGTCCTGTCTTTAAAATATTTTGTGGTACGATCTTTGAATTTTTTCACCAGCTGCTGCTTCACATCGTCTGTTGCAATTCCTCGGGCTTGGGCGAATCCTAGGTACTTGTAGGTTTCGTTTTTCTGCATGGCATCGATGATTCCGTCGCCTGATGCTTGGGTAAGCTTATGACCTTCCGATTCGTGCCATTTTCCTTTCTTTATGCTGTTGATTTTGCATTTTTCAAATACTTTAAAAAAGTTATGAAATATACGGTATACCCTAAAGCTTGATTTTTTTTAATTAATTCTTGTCTTTTACTGACTAATAGACCCTGATTCCTTTTTTTATTATCAACTACTGGATGCGATCCCTTTTAAGTAAAACTACGAATATTTTTACCTAGTTTTATAAATAAAATTTTCATAAAAATAGCAAAAGTTTGTTAGGTATTTTATAAAATTAAAATAAAATATTTATTTAAACATTGAGCACTCTAGAATAAATCTATGCGTGATCTGACTAAATTGGACAAGAGAAATTGCTCAATTTTATTCCTTTTTAGATTTTGAAGCAAAATTGTGTAAAATGCAAGTGGTTATAAATTTTTAAATTTGCAAGGTATCAGGTGTGGCATGTTCGTTATTATTTTACTACTATTACATAATTTCTAAGGTGGAGCAAATGGCTCCTGTAATCAGGTATGTTTCAATCAATAAAACTGATTCCAATCAGAATGAGTTTGAAATTAAAATTAATGGAAGCTCTTTGGGTTTTCTTCCAGTTGAGAGGTCTACAGGGAAGCAAATGTTTGAAGTTATAATTGCAGAACTTAATAATTTGGGTTTAAATTTACAGTATATAAGAGGGCAGGGATATGACAACGGGTCTAATATGCGGGGCGATAAATCAGGAATTCAATCTAGGATTAAGAACCTAAATCCGCGAGCTTTCTACGTTCCATGTAATAGGCTCTCTCTCTCTCAATCTAGTAGTTAACGATATGGTAAAATCATCTTTGGAAGACGCTAATTTCTTTAATATGATTTAAAAAATACAACAATTCCACAAATTATAAGGTAGATTTTTTTATTTTACAATTGACCAGGCACTAAATGCAATAGATACTAGATTTAAACAACTTAGTCACCATAGTAATTATTTTCAATTTTTATATAATAATCTTTTAAAATATTGCAATGGTAGAATAGTATATTATGCAACGATCATGTAATGATGGTTATTAATACACGAGCATTAACCGGGATACGAAACGAGCCAAAGGCGAGTTTCGTATGGTTTATGCGAGTGTTTTAATAACCATTACATGAGAGTTGCATACGCTATTTTTTCTACACCCGATAAATAATCAAGACCTATAAATATTATATTTATATTGGTATTGAACACAATAACAGTAATTACTCGTATTTCTATAAAAAATTCTACAAAATTGTAATTAATGGTATTACTTCAGGTATTGGTATTTCCCTAGATTTTTGCGGTAAAATATTTTGTACTGTATTTTCTGCTTTCTCCGATATGTGTGGAGGAGTCTTCTATATCGCTAATATCAGACATTTTAATATTATAATTATCGAAGTTTAGCTACCTACGAAAATTTAATACGTTTTGACAACTAAAATAATTACATAGGAACCTAGGACAAACGTCAAACAGCATGCTTGATTGAAAAATTGTAGGTTTCTATTAGGCATTCCAAACAAATGAATTACCAGTGGGCAGGTTTGGTATATCTAAGGGTGGCGACATATGGTGTATTCTATCTACTTTACGTACAATCATGAATAATGGATTACATTTAAATATTTTATGTAAAACACAATAAAAATAATATTTAAAAAACCCACCTATACATTTTTTCATAAATTGGCAGGCTTGGCGAGTACTACTTCGAATAAAAATAGTGTCCAAGTTGCAAGACTATGTCGCTACCCCCCTTAAATATACAAGAATTTCCCACTGGCACCTATTGTTTGACAGGTCGTTGGAATGCCTAATTGATTAAAAATCTGTATCGTAATGAAAAATCTGTATCATAATGGGTATCATTATGAAACGGATTATGGGCATATAAGTGCATTATTATAATACGGGTGTAGAAAAAGTATTTTTATTCACGGCGATTCTGTTGATATTACCGGGGTAGAATTAGCAGAAGAAATTTGTACTGTATCTGGGCTTATGGGCAAAAAAGAAAGCCCAGACACTGTTCTAAAATTAATAACAATGGTAAATTTTGTCCCAAACCTAAGTGTTTCCTTAAGAGTATTTCTGGCTATACCAGTAACTGTTGGAAGTGGAAAAAGAAGTTTTTCCAAATTAAAATTGATTAAGAACATTTTACGTTCAACTGCAAAACAAAATTGTCTTAATGGGTTGGCCATTTTAGCGATTGAGCATGAAATTGCTGGAACAAGTTCACTTAGAAGATGTAATAAAACATTTTCGGAAATCAAAGTTAGAAAGAAAAATTTATTTTAGGTTACTTTATTTTAAAGAATGTAAAATTTCTCTTTTTGGTTATGCAATAATTTTTTGTACTTTCTTAATAGAATATAAGTATAGCAATAAAAATGCACCTTATATGTACTAGTACAAAAGTTTTGCCCTTTTTAAATGTTTATAATATATTACATATATTTTTTTAAATAAATGATTTTAACATCATAATTTTAGATAACTGTGAATTAAATGGACTTTATGAACGTCTGGGTGCCATTTAAAAACAAACGCGAGACAATGTGAATCAAACATAGATTTAATATACACTATGTTGCGCAATAAAAAATATTTCCTATGTATACATGTTCTTTTAAATGAGTTAATTGTTAATTTAAACGCTGCACTTATTGTAATAACTAATAATAAAAAATTAATTTTGAGTTTCTTTTTTAGCCAACAAAAAAAAAATAGCGCCTCTATTAACAGCTCGTTTAATGGAACATGCAATATACTTCTCAATTATTTCCGAATAAATATATTTAAAAATTCCCGCCATTCCGCGGCCAGAAACTTACAATTTTGGCAGGAAATTAGTTGAGCGGCCAGTCGCATTTAGCGCTGCAAATTTAGTGCTATCTCTTTAACAAGTGAGATGCACTACTACGTTACAAGGGATATATTGTGGCTTTAGGAAAGAAGCTGGAGTTGTAATACTTATTTTTTTATAAAATCCACAACTGATAGAATGTAAAACATGTAAGTTACTGGGGTTGCTGAGAATATCATAGTGTAGCATCAACAATGCTTTGAGTTATGTATAAAAGTGTTTATAATTATTGCTAATTTTTTATGATAGGAACCTAAATATTATCTTCTCGTTCACATAAACAGTTTTATAAATATTGTTGAAAAAATATTACTATTACTATTACTATTATAATATTATTATGGAAATAAATACTACTAATTATGTATGAGTTTTTATAATATAAATAAAACAATATTGGAACTTACCTAAAATTGGTAACCTATACATATGAATTAAAATTATTTCAGGCTTCTAGAATAATTAAGTTACAGTAATGTTAAGAAAGCTTACTTGCAAATTTTACTTAAATTGACTTCAATTTTAGTATAAGTATTAAGTTAATACTAGGTATATACAGCATAAAAATGGTGTGACATCTTAAAAATGAAATGTCAAAAATCACTGGTAGCTAGATCTCAAAGGTGGTCAAGAAGCAGTCAATAAGGGATAGTAGAAAATAAAAAGTTGATTCAGCTGCTAAAAACTCCATTCTTCGTCCTACAATTAGTAATATTCATTATCCGCAGGAGATTAGTCACGTAATTAAACGAGAGGTAAAATCAAGTTGGGAGAATCTTTTGGAACACTTCGTTGCTCATTCAAATAACCAATATTACATGTACACATCCTGTTTTTCTAAAATGTATTCAACATTACAAATTTTAAAATGTATAGGTATTATTGTAAGACTTAAAATCTTGCATGAGGATAAAATTGAATCATGGGGTTATCGTCACACCTTTCCAGAATCCACTTTTCCCGTTATTCGACAATTTCGCATTACTCATGCGCGATAAAAAGCACGGGACTTTTGAATCCAACTTATTTTTATCTCTCTCTTATCCTCGCTTTACGACTGTTGGGTTGGCTACGACGATTGTCCCATGTCATCGTTAATTTAAAGAACTGTCATCTAGTCTATATAGTAGGAGAGCCAGTGATACTTTTTTGGTACACGTTTGCACAAGGCATTATATAAACAGGCTTCTTTAAGACGTCGTCATCAAGGGCTTCATCGCTGCAGGGACCAGCAAAGTATTTTTATGTTCTACAAGGTAAGAATAAACTAAATATTTGTAATTTTGCCTTGCGCATATAACACACCTAAAAGTGTCACTGGCTCCCCTACCAATAATAAAAGTTAAAAATGACATTTACATACAGTGTGGCCCAATGAAAAGTATCCACCGTCCCTTTTCTTGGTTCCCTCAGATTTAAAGAAGAAATGCTCGGGCACGTCGATTTTTGTTTGGAGGGGGACACATTTTTTCCTAATTGCATCATTATCACTTCAACCCTCGAGCAGTGGGCTGAACAATCCCTAGAATTTAGATAGGGAAAGTACTAAGTGTGGCACATTTTTTAAAAGGAAATTTTATAAGAAATTCAGTAATGCCAATATTGTTGCGTCGAGGATGAAAATTATGCACC